GAGTCAACAGTGGCCCTGACTTGGGGGGGGGGGTTCCTTGCACTCAATATGATTTAAAAAGTCGTTAATCTTGTGAAGAGCAGAAAGGCTGTAAGAGCCCCCAAGATTTTGCAAGAGAGAGAGAGACACCCACAACTCAGGCCTCTCCCTGAAGAAGAGTGACATGGCAGGGAAGGCCCGGAAGTGTTGGCGGGTGCTTTGCAGGGGGAGGTCTCCGGTTCCGTCCCCCACCCCACCCCGCTTACTGGGGACAACCACTCTTCCCAGGGATCATGGGAGCTGTAGTCTGACGTCTCTGGTTGAGGAAGGATGGGCTAAAAACTTACATCTTGCCCTGCCCTTCCTAACACACGTGCATGTGTGAAATTACGGGCATGAACGCTAAGGTGCTGCATGGTGTGCAGGCTTACCGCTCACCTTTTGCTGTTGTGGAGGCATGTTTTGAGCTCTTCATGGCAGGCAGCTCGTTAAAACGTGTGACAGTTGCACACCCGGATGGTAACTGTTGAAACCTCAAACCTAAACGCCGTGCAGTTTCATGTGCTGTCGCTCTCTTGCACTTGCCCTGTTCTGAGAACCGGCTTTGAGTGCAACCTGTATTTGTGAAAAATAAATAACCTGGAACGACACCGGCTTGCAGGCCATTGTCTTCAAATACCTGCAGATCAAAGGGACGCAGAATTGTGCTGCTTTTGGGTCCATGCAGACCAGGGGCCATAATTTTTCCAGGGAAGAGGGAGGAAAAACTGCATAGTAGTAGATGAGTGTAATTCAAGCACGAACTGCCCAGCACTACAACACAGCATGTCTGCCTGTGTGTGCCAAAATAATAAGTGCATTTATACCTCCCTTTTTTCCCCCACCCCCAGCAGGTGCTCATGTGTAGGGGTGAGGTCCTGGGTTCCAGAATGAGTAAATACAGCATCCTCCATAGATAAAAATAAGGGAGACGGGGTTGCCCCTTAAGCAGTGGGGATCCCTCAGGGAAAAACTTGAGAGGTTACAAGCAGCACCCCATTTTGAGCGGGGAATTCTGGCAGGTAGGTACTTATGGGTTCTCCCTTTTCCAGGATCTAGTGACCGCTCTCCCTGTAGGCGAGCAGGATCTCCTCGGGCACAACCTTGGCAATAACTTTCTGTCTAAGGCAGGGTGGTATCCAGGCAAGTATTGCTAACAGAGCATCGAGCAACCTCAAGCAAACGGTAGCATTTCCCCCAGCTCTGTTGCAGGATTTTTGGTCTGGCCATCAGGCAGGATTTGGCCCGGTAGCATGCCAAGCGAGAGTAATGGCCGGGGGGGGGGGAGCAGTTTCTGCTCTTAAGCCAGTCCGCTCTTAATCCAGTCCGCTCATCCTCGGCTACCACAGACTTCTCAAAGCCCCTTGCGTAAAGGCCCTCCTTGGGTTAGCAGTCTGGGATAAACGAGGATGATTTCTATGCTCTGCAAAACAGACTTTATGGCTACCGCTCAGAGGAGGAACTGGGAGCTGCAGGAAAAGTCCACCCGCCCGCCAGCTGCCACTCTTCCTTCTGTGCAAATAGCTGCTCAGGTTGCATGGGTGGCTCCTGTACCACATATGATGATGCCCCGGCCCAGCATTCAAATCTCTGGACAGCTTCCTCCTTGCCAGCTGTCACCTGTTGGCAAACCAGTTCCTTTTTCCTGGCACACCACATTCTGGCTGTTTCCTCCACCTGTGTTCCTCAGGATGGCCCATCTGCTTCCAAATCTACCAAACCTGAAACCCCCCCCCCAAAAAAAAGCACACCTGGTCTTGTAATTGCTCAGTGTGGCCCCAAGGCCTGACTTATAAGAGCTGTAGAAGTGACTGCGATGGAAGCCCATATCCTTGGCGTGTCATTCGGGGTCACTGACTTTTTTTCTTAGCTGGACCTAGAGCTTTGATTCTAATCCTGTACTCGGAGTTGAAGAGTGCTTGTTTAATTCTGGGAATGGTTCCAGACTTTCTTAACGGGAAGTGAAAGCAGGAGATATTTCTGCTGGTTCGTTAACCCAAGCCTTGGCTGCCTCTCCACCCCACCCCACCCCCGGACTCCCTCCTTGAGTTTTTCGGCGTTAAAGAGACCATTTTGACGGGATGGGTCGTATAACCCCATTAAGTCCGTTGTAGCAAGGATGACAAAATATGATGAGTTACAGACAAACTTTGGCATAAGCTCTTTTCGGATTCTGTCAGATGTGAAAAAGATGCGCCTGGCAGCCGAGGAGAGCGTTTGCCACATAAAACTCGTTAATCTTTAGGGCAAGGCTCCCTCTTGATCTTAAAACACCCTGACTTCTTAAGATTATTTACATTACAGTCGCTGAAGCTCCTGATTTGGTGGGAGCAGTTATTGGGGGTGATCTGTTTCACCTTCTCCCAGAACCATCTTGTGTAATGTTTAATTTC